AACTGAAGTACAGTGGATTTTAAATGTTGTATTAGTTTCTGGTGCACAGCATGAATGGACTTGGAGGGCATTATGCTAAAGGGAAATAAGTCAGACAGAGAAAGATAAATACTGTAAGATATCACTTACATGTGGAACCTTAAAAAAATACAACAAACTAGTGAATTTAACAGAAAAGAACAGACTCACAGATGTAGACAAGAAACTAGTGGTTACTAGTGGGGAGAGGAAAGGGGAAGGGGTAAGATGGAGGTGGAGGATTAAGAGGTACAAACAAAATAAGCTACAAGGATGTACTGTACAACATGGGGAATAGAGCCAATATTTTATAACTATAAATGGAATATAACCTTTAAAAATTTGTGAATCACTATATTGTATACCTGTAACATAATACTGTACATCAACTAGACTTCAACTTAAAAAATATGATATTGTAAAATAAATACATAAATATAAAAAATAAAAATAAATAAATGGATCATACACCAAAATCTAAGAACAGAAACTTTTAAAACTGAAGTAAGAAAATACAGGAGAAAATTTTGCTGACTTCCATCTTTGCAAAGATTTCTATAACACAACAAAAAACTCACAAATCATAAAGGGAAAAAAAGCATTTAATCACACATTATCAAAATTTAAAACTCTGCCCATCAAAAGACACTGTTTCTAAAGGACAAGCCACAGACTGGCAGAAAATATTTACAAAAGATATGTTTGAAAAAGGATCTGTATCAACAATATATAACAACTTTTTTTTTTTGAGTAGAAGGAGATTTATTCAGAGAGATGCACACTCTATAGACAGAGTGCAGGCTGTCTCAGAAGGCCAGAGAGAGAGTGACCTATAACAAACTTTTAATACTCAAAAATAAGACAACCCATCAATAGGCAAAAAATTTAAACAGACCCTCAAATCAAAGAAGGAATACAGATGACAGAAAAGCACACTGAAAGATGTGCAACATCTCCAGTCAGTAGGAAACTGCAAATTAAAAACCACAGTAAGATACCACTACTTATCCACTAAAATGAGTAAAATTAAAAAAACTGACTATACTGCATGTTGGTGAAGATAAAGAACAAGTGGAACTCTCATGTACTTCCTGGTGAGAATATAAAAAACATAATTTCTTAAAAAATTATATATGTGCCCAATCAAAGTTTATGTATAACCCAACCATTCTATTCCTCTATATTTACTCAAGAGAAAAGAAAAGCATATGTCCTCACAAAGACTTATACATGAATGTTCATAGCAGCTTTATTTGTAATAGCCCCAAACTGGAAACAACCCAAATGACCACCAACAGGTGAGTGGATAAACAAGTTGCAGCATATCCACAATGGAATATACCCAGCAATAAAAGTGAATGTATAAAACAAAATAGATTAATTGCTAAATAATTATGCCGTGGGAAAAAGGCAAGAAAAAAGTATATGCCCAGTTCATATGAATATTTCAAAGTGAAATAAAGTAGATCACATAATAATAATAATAGATAAGTTAGGAAGGGAGGAGAGAGAGGATTACAAAGGAACATGAGAAAACTTTTGAGAGCATATGTCAAAATTTCATCAATTTGTATACGTTAACATGTGCAGTTTACTGCATATAAATCAATTATATTTCAATAAGTGTTTAAATCAGATACACATATACATGTATATATAACTGGCTATACATGATTTGTTCATTTTCTTCATCTGTATATTACAAAAATAATCAGCCAAACAAATTCTGTAAATTGAGAATGCTCAAAAAGAGATAATTTACTATGAGCATACCTTGATACACACAAACACACGCATGTGTGTGTCTCTTGATAAAAAAGAATGAATAGCTAACTCAATAAAATACAAGGGAATAAGAATTTTCAAGGTATCTGAACCATGGCTTTTTGAAAACTACACCACTGTATTTGGCATCTAAAGGCATTAGAAGCAATTTTAAGAAAAGTTTAAAAAAAAACTGAGTGGAGCCATAGGCAGTGTTCATACAGGCAAAGAATATCAAATAATTTCAGAATTTTAGCACCTGAAAAGTTCGTCTAATCCAAAGTCCTCATTTTATAGCAGAGAATGTGAAGCCCAGAAAGATTAAGTCAACTGTTCAAAGCCATACCAAGGCAGAGTCAAGACTATAATCAAATTTGGACAACTCTAATTTAAAAAGTATTTTAGGATCAATTACAATTCCACTGTCATACTGATCAATTTTCAATTCAACAATATTTACTGAACACTTACTAGGCATTATAGGAGTATATGGTAATTCTCACTTTCAAGGAGCTTTCAATGTCAATTTATGAGGCTTATTGAATATTTAAGGCATAAATTTTTTTTAAATGAAATCTACAGTTAAAGGGTTTAGGATCAAGGTATGGTCATAATAAATCCCCCCTCCTTTGGCGCATTCTCAATTTACAGAGTTTATTTGGCTTGGATATTTTTATAATATGCATGTAAAGAAGATCAACCAATCTTGTCCAACCAGTTTTTCCACATAAAGAATGGAAAGGTTGCAAATTGGCAGTCTGTGATCTATGTTTTGCCCACAGATATGTTTCATCTGGCCTGGACAGTGTTTTTAAAAACTTGAATATGTAGCTAACATTTAAAATAGGTAGACCTTACATTAAACTCTGGGCTTCTGAATTTTGTTGAAACATCGGAAAATCTGACATAATTAGACATACATCCTTCATAACAAAAACTGAGCTCTGATTATGTTCTTGCATAACTTCAACAAATTGCTGCTTTCAAAGACTCCATGGTTTATTATTAGAGGTAATCACAAAAATATATTATTGCAGTATATTATAGTCTTACTATGTGCCAGGCACCGTGTGACAGATATCACAATAAAAATGAGAATAAGATAAGATGGAGACACAAGGCTTTGAGGAGGTGATCAACTCTGTGAAAAAGCATACTGCTTTGGAAAGGCTTCATGGAAGAGGCAGCATTTGAGCTATGTTTTTGAGAGTTAAGTTTTGCCAGGTGAATACGGCAGAGGAAGACATTTTAGACAAGCAGCAGCATGTTCACAGTTATAGGACCACATACAATCAGCATGGATGACGTATAAGACTTCAGGTAGTTTGAAAAAAATAATATGCTTTGAAAGATTAACTAAAGTGAGATCATAAAGAACGCTTGTATCTCATGCCAAGGAATGTGGGTTTCATCCTACCCATCAGTATTTTTCCCATAGTGTCCCTAAGGAGATTGCTCATGATTCGACCCAGGTGGGAGAAGAAATAAAAACAGAAAGAATATAACAGCTGACCTCCACCCCTAATCACTGATTCAACTAAAGCTCTACTTCTATTTTACGCAGTAAAGTTCTATTTTAACATATCTTTGGATTAAAAATTCTGCTGCTATAAACAAAAAAAAATGTGTTTAAAGCTTGAACATGAGACATTAAAAATTTTTTACCAAGAAATTATATGATAAGATTAGTATTTTGGAAAGATCTCTCTGGTAACAGTATCAAGGATGAATAAAGAAATACAAGACCAGAAAGAAATGAGAACACTTAGCTGCAGCAACTGATGCAAGAAATGATGAGTTAAATGTGGGCAGTGACAGCAGAGATATTCAAATCTTATTGATATCTACTTTGTGCCAAGTAGTCTGCTATGTGCTAGGTTCAGGATAAAGAAGATAAATTCAAGAGTTATTTAAATGAAAAGGGATCATGACTAATTAAAATGAGAAAGCTAAAAGGAAAAAAGAATTAAGCTTGGTAGGTGACTTAAATGGATGCAGACAGATGTAATTTAAACTTAGAACAAAATCAAAATGCCTCATCTTCAATAAGCTAAGCACAAAGCTGGTCAAAAGAAGATATGCTAAGGAGGTGTAATCCAGACAAAACAAAGAATTACAGCTATGACTATACTTCAGGAGAGCAAAGGTCCCAGGTGATTTGCTAGAGGTATATACAAAATCAGAACCACCCATGAATGCCATCATAAAGAATAAAAGTCCTTAACTACCAGTATCTCGGAGAGGATGTCAAATGGTCTGTTTAAGGTTAAAGTTAGACATCTTTCCTTGGCAAATTTGGTTGAGATTCAGATGCCCAAATGATGGCATGGAATCAAGGCAAACAAGAATAGACAACACTATTTAGGTCATCATACCTATACAATTGCTAGCTAATATACAGCCAACAAGTTTATCAACTGTCCCACTACTTCTTGAGTAAGTATCTAATAAGTTGCTCAATTCTGGTCATAGTTTGTAATTACTAGCTTCTCAGTAGACTTTTAGAAGAGGTTCAAAGTATTTAAGCAGATAAATTTCCCAAAAGTGTTTAAAGATAAAAGTTTTCAGGTTTTTCACTGAGTCCTAAGCTGAAAGAAATTTAGTGCTATTTTCACGAATCTGGTTTTACATAGCATAATTGCTTTTCCTGATAAGGATTTCTAAAGTGGGGCAGGGGAGAGAAGAAGAAAAGAATGGGATGAGAGCCCTTACATTCTTCAAAAATGAAATCTTTTCACTGCTGTTAATGAGAATTATTCCTAGATAGCAAATGATATCAAAGAGATCTTTGATAAAGGTTATAATTAACAGTAAGTACACAAAATGAACTCTAAGTCCTTCATTGAGAAAATTGATCAAAACATTCTCTTTATCAAAAGAGCCTTTACACCTCATTAATTACATTAAACTATCATATCTTACTCATTAGAATAGATCAAATGCTAATTACTATTTCCAAATAGCTGGCTATAAGTTATAAAACTCTCTTATGCAACATCAGAAAGAACTGGTTATAACTTTAAGTGTATTGCCAAGCTTTATATATTAGAAGACATTCTGAGAGAAGAATTGCATGAGACTGTAGCTACATAGTTAAAAAAAAAAAAGGTGTCTCACTAAAACAAGAATTAGAAAATATTCTTGAAATATCCTTATGTGGGGCATAGTAAGTGTTTCCATTTACAGAAAGAAAAAAAAATGGGGAATAGAAGAATTACCTGAGGGCAGGAAATTCAGACAAAAGCTCCCTATTCCTGGTGAAAGCAAGTAGTCAGTTGCCAGGGTTTCTTAGACTCCTCTGGTACTCATTTGGGTGATTATGAAATTCACAGCACACCAATCTCCACCACAGCCAGCAGGGATCGCTGCAGGGAATGGGTACACAGGGGACACAGAAGGGAGCAAGTTTAAGGGAAGGAAGAGGAAAGGAATGATATGATAAAAATATTTAGCTGTGATGCACTTTAAAGAAAATACAGTTGTATTTCACATTGGATTAACTAAAGGTAAATGTTGCTTAAATTCTAAGATAAATTAATCATTTAAGATTTTCTTCATTCTCTCTACCACTGGTATCACTACTACTCTATTAAATCAATATTTTAAAAATTCTATAGTAAAAATGTTATTTAACAAAAGTGAGATAGCTATATTGTACAAAGACTGAGTTGTACAATTCAACATTAAATGAAGCCAAATAGGACAAGTACTCTAAAAGACAAGCAACTTACAAATACAGATTATCAAATTTTTAACTGCCAAAGGCCCAGTTAAAACTCTAATCCTCATATCCTTTCATAGAGAACACTAAAGAGTAAATTTACCTATGAAAAGTGACCCACAAACCAAAGAGATCCAGCAATAAGCTATATTTATATACTCAAAAGTAAACTGAAGAACTATAGCGTCTATCAGGAAAAAAGCTTTAATTTAAATTTTTTGGATATAGTCAACTTCTTAAACCTGCCAAAAATGTATTCAGGTTTATGAATACATGTATTTATGCCCTATGTAGTCTATGAAGACCAAAGTAGTATAAATTTATTTCTCCAGGCAGCTAAAAATGTTTCTGAACAACTACTATGTACCACAGTACTGTGGCAGATGCTAACGATACAGTGGTGAACAAGAGAAGCACAGTCACTGCCCTCAAAGCCTATTATGGTTATTCTGCCCTTTAAGAGATGACAGTCTATGGAACTAACAACCATGAAGCTTTTATTTTAATAAACAGACAATGGTAGAGAAAAACAACACAATGCTATGACAGCAGTGGCAAATGAAAGCCCTCTATTAAAGTATTTTGGGGTAGAAAGAGTATACTGTATATATAGTTAAAATTAAGTCTTAAAGGATAGGCTAATATAGAGTTTCAAAATTTATACACAATATTCACTTTGGCTGGGAAAGGTCTCAAAACAAGTCAATGAACCATCAGACAGAACAATAATAAGGCTAATGCTTGGAAAAAAGTCAAGCAATAAATTACTATGTCCTGAATCATATTTGCTCAGCTCTTAATTTTGTTTTATTTTATTTTTTTACTGAAGTATAGCTGGTTTACAATGCTGTGTTAATTTCTAGTGTACAGCATAGTGATTCAGTTATACATATATATTCCTTTTCATATTCTTTTTCATTATAGGCTATTATAAGGTATTGAATATAGTTCTCTGTGCTATACAGTAGGACTTTATTGTTTATCTTAATTTTGTTTTAATAACTTGGTCTTGATAACTGCTCATATATCACTCATAGAAATAGTCATACAGACTTTCACTTGTAACTTACATTCAATCTGAGCTAATACCAACTTGTAAATACCAATATTTAATAGAAATATTAAATTACTCATCCTAAGCAATATACAGAATTTAAAACACATAACTGATAAGAGATCAAATTACTAAGGAAATGTTTAGAGGCAAATATATTAAGGCAAAGTGTAATACTGCAAAAAGTATATCACAAAAAAAAATATTTTGCAAGTAAAAAGAAATGAATGGAGAAATTGTCTTTCCCCAACTTTAAAGAATTGCTGAGTCAAAAGACTATGTTTCCCAAGTTTCAAAGGACTGCAAAGTCAAAGGATTTCCAAGTAATAAAAGAATCTCCTAAGGGATACTACATCAGGATGATAATACCATAAAAGAGTAATAACGGAAATGCTGTGAACTAAGTAAAAGAAAAGCAAACTGTTAGGTGGCAACAACAGCCTGAGCCGGCAATATAGAATAATCAAATTAAAAGGGTGCTGGATCACTCACTTAACCACTCATCACAACCTGTTAAACCTTGGAAAAATCAAAAAGTTCAATGTTTTAATAATTTCCTTCTAGGAGACAAGATTAAATACTTTCTCTCACTCTAGATAATAATATTACAACATCCGATGGACCAAGCATCCAATCTCATTTTCAGCTGATGTTTTCAAATCAATCTTCTGAAAGTAACATTTGCAACAATCAATATCTGGTTGTAGTTGGAAATTAATGTGAAAGATATGAACACCACGCTCAATTTCAGATGTTTCTACATAGTGTACTTTATAGAAAAAAAAATCTGCCCCCTAAAACTGAACTCACAATTCACTTTTCTATAATTATCTATTGCATAAACCAAAGGATAAAAAAACAGACATAGTTGTTGCCAGACTAAGATGTGAAGTCTAAATTAGTTCACAAATAAAAGGGATCTCTATTTAGATATTTAATAGGCATCCAAATTACTGTATCCAGAGCCAAACTCCCGATCTTCTGTAAGCCTGTTTCTCCTGTAGTCTTCTCCAACTTAGTACATCTAGAACTACTATATATCTCAACAACTCCACTGCATCCATCTAGCTCTAAGTTAGTATTTTTCTCATCTGAATAGTTAACACTTTCCATTGGGCTCCTGCTTCTGCCCCTGCCCCTCTATTATTTATTTCCCCACATGATGATCATGAGCCAAATGATCAATGGCTCAAAGCCTTCCAGTGGTTTACAATCTCACTCAGGGTAAAAGCCAAAGTCACAAGAGGTCCCACAAGATCTGGCCCTTGTTTTCTCTTTGATCTCATCTTCCTCTACATACCTCACTCTCTATCCCACTTCACCTATTTTGGTGGCTTCAATACACTTCCAAAAAAAAAAAAATGACAAGTAGCTTCCACTTCTGGATTTTTGCATTTGCTCCCATCCCACTTTCAGGTCTCTTCTCAAGTATGACCTTCTCAATCACCAGATTTAAAACTGCAAAATTCATCAACACCTCCTTGAATTCCCTATCCCCTTTCCCCATGTTTCTTTTTTTTTTAATAGCACTTATCACAAACTAATATAATGTACTTCACTTATTTATTTATTTACTCTCATCTCTGATTAAAATGTAAACTCCACTGATGACAGGGATTTTTGCCCCAGCACTATGGACCAGTACCTGTTACAGAGCAGCACTCAGTAAATATTTGTTAAATAAACTAGCTATCTAGTGTCAAAAATCAGTATTATTGGATATTATTTTTAAAAGAATAAGCCAATTTAAGTAATCCAAAATTACTTCAAAAAAATCCCCAATTGCCTCATCCAAGTAAACCAAATCTCACAAATTTCACATGGCAGTATAGTTCTAGAAATAAGTTACATATAGTGATCCTACTCATGTTTCTTATGACAGAATAGGAATCACTTTAGTTTTCCAAGAGCTGAGATAATGTCTTGCCCATCTTTGTATCTCTAATGCCTAGGGTTCAAGAACCTGGTACACATAAATTCTCAAAAATTATTTACTGAACTTTAACATAAAAGTAAATTATGTAAATAATCAGCCTATCAATAATTATACAAAATAATCATTTTAGAAAATAATTTCTGACAATCTAAATAATCTATGTTGTATTTCTTTTTAAGAATGTCCAGTACAGGAACAATTATGTACTCAGTAGTATCCATCTCCAATTATATGCACCTTAACTTCTCTTCAGCAATTCATTTCCATGGCTTTTTCTGACACCTTGCCCTAAGCTAGGCCTACTCCACATTTAAAATCTTTTTTTTTCCAACATATTTACTGAGTTATAGTCATTTTACTAATG